GCTCCCCACGCCCGCCGCCCCTGCCAAGGCTTGAGTCACCCCCATCCACGCGTGCAGCCACCGAGATAGGGGGGTTATTCTTGGCCTGGGCCCTGTTGCCACACGGGCCCCTGCTGGGCAGCTGACCTCACCCATCGACATTCTCCAAACAGGGGACGTTTGCGTTGGCCCCGGACCCAGTGGGCATTTGGCCTGCAGCCCACCAGGAAAGGTCTTCCTCCTTGATCTGAGGCCGGGCAGAGGGCGCAACAAAGGTGAGCGGCTTGGCTGAAATGCAAAACTAACAAGCTTGTGTCCAGCCAGGTGAGAGAACAGAAGACAGAGGATGGAGTCTGGAGACCAAGGTGTGCTCACGCGCTCAGGGGTGATAAGATATTATGGTTAGGTTTGGACAATACTGGAATTTGAAGAAGCAGGATAGAAAGAGTATTGATGCTTTTGAAATTTGGTGTTGAGAAAATTCCTGAGAACACATGGAGAGCTCAAGATGAGGTCAAGCGAAGAATGAACTGCAGAGGGATTAAGTTTTCAATGGTTTTCATATGGACAATTAAGAGAAAGATTTAATATAGATCAAAAGGTAATGGGGACTGATCAACATAAGACAGAATTTGAAAATGAACAGTGTACAAATGAACATCTGATTGCAAAAAGGTATATATTTTTGTTGAAATTTGAAACAGAAAAGGAGCAAGTTAAAGGTTGCATAATAAAATGGGCTAAGAATTTTGGCTATAATTCATCCCACAGATGAATCAGTGGGAGAGAATGTGGATAAAGGGACTGAAATTCACATTGTGTTGTAATTTAAGACAGAACTGTTACAAAATGATGCACGCTGAAATTATCTAAGATCTACAGTATAAAGGTACTTCTAGTCAATGTTGGAAATGTGAAAAACATGACTTTTTACCACGCATGGTGGACTTGTGAAAAAGCAAAATAATAATAAAAAAGAAACATATAACAACACAAAGAATTTTGAAGATTAATATTGAGATGAAACCAGAACTCTTTTTATTGGGACTTATGGATAATCAATTAGAAAACACTTATGGAAGATCAATATTATATATGGTAAATGCAGCAAGATTATTACATGCACAAAGATGGAGAAATACTGAAATACCCACAGGGAGGAATGGATTGTGAAGATGGCAGAATTGGCAGAGATGGCAAAACTGACTTGTTTGTCAGGGACAAGACAGTAAGTTCTTTTATAAAAGACCGGAAACCTTTTATGGACGTTTTGCTGAAAATGGAAAAAAGTGGAATGGTGATTTCTGAATTTGATGATTGAAAAAAGATTGAATAAAGGTCTGAAGAGGTTTTTGCAACAATAAGAGGGATAATGGGTTTGTTTGCAACTCTTGTTACAAAGTCACAAGGAAGTTACAAGGAAGTTTCTTTGTTACAAGAAAGTCACTTTTTTGTAGCAAAGCTGCCCAGAGTCGCTTTAATAAATAAATAAGTGACTGCTGTAGAGAAAGGCAGAAGTCGCTTCTTTAACCATATTATTTTCTCTTTCTTTCTCTTTCTTTTCTTTATATATTTCTGTTTTCGTCTTTTAGCTATGTAAAAACTTTTAATAAAAATTAATTTAAAAAGAGAGAGAAAACGCCTGAGAACACCGTGGGCAGTCAAAAAACCACAGACAAATGGATCATTGGGGGGAAAAAGATCAGCGCAGAGTTCTCCCTTGAGGTGCAAAGGACCAGGCTCGGATCAGCCTATTTCGGGCAGGGGATGCGAAGACCCAGCTCTCTGGAGAAGGCTGTGATGCTGGGAAATGGGGGAGGAAAGCGAAGAAGAGGACGGCCAGCAGCAAGGGACGGACTCAGTGACAGGCGATGGGTGCACCATGGCGAGGTCTGAAGGATCAGGCTGGGGAGAGATCGTCATGGGAAAAAGATCGCTGCGGTGGCTAAGGGCTGACACCTTCCTGATGGCACACAATGAATCAAACAAGCAATACACTTTCCCATAGCGGGAATCCGATAGCACACGCGTCTGCAACCTGGGTTAAGAAAACACAGTGGCTGTATTCACTCAACATGCTGTGAAGAAGCGTTCAGACAATCTGGGGATGTTTCAGACGAGGGCACCAAGGATGGCCAACGGACTAGAAACCGTGCCCTGTGAAAAGAGGTGAAAGGAGTTGGGAAGAGGAGGCTGCAGAGGAGGCTGGGAATGGTCCTCTCTCGTCCCCCCCATCAGGATTTATGCTGTGGTCCAAAACCCCTCCCTCCGGGCAGCTGGACAGCGGAAGCCACTCCCTCAGGAGGTGACGGGCTCAGCCCTTTGGTGAGGGTGCTTGCTCTTGGGTTTCTGCACTGAGCAAACGTGAGACCTTGCAGCCTCGAAGGCTCCCCCCAGTTAGAGGTCTCAGTGGGGAATAAACCAGACCCTGGCTGACTGGGATGGACTGGTTCCCCAACATGCTGAGACAAGGGTTGGTCCCCACCATGCATTGAGCCCTGAGCTGCATGCCCACCATGTGTTCGCACAACTTGCTAGGCTTGGGTGCTGGGAAACCACACTGTTCTGGTTATAAATCTGGGGGAACAGGAGGACTGTGGGGAGGAGCTGTCCCTGACTTGCTCGGGGAAAGGACCATGCTTGGGATGGGAAAGGGGGTCCTCAGAGCCTGGGCTTGGGGATGGAGCCCGTGGAGGCCTCAGGCGCAAGTCCCACTGGCTGCCCAAGTCCGGAGAAGTCCCTCTCCCCACAGAGGTCACTGTTTGGTGGGCCAGTGGAGCACAGCTTCAGTGGGGAGGGTGCCTCTTGGAGAGGAATGGACCTCCAACTTTGCTCCAGGCTGTCCAGCAAACTCGGGACTGGGGACATTGAGGACATGGGCCTCCCACTAGGAATCCATGAGCTGCAGGGTCCCCCCAGGATGGAGCCCTGACCCTTCACTGGGGGGGGGGGCAAGAGGCCTTGCCAAACTGCACAGGACAGGAGCTCTCCAAGAAGAGCCAGGATCCAGAGCTCAGGCCAAGGAGATGTTCGTTGCAAAGCATGGCCAGGTGGTCCTCTCATGGAAATGGCTGAAGTACGGAGCACTCCTTCAAGGAGAAAGGCTGTTGGGTGCCTGCTGGACCAGAAAGAGCGGCCCTGAACAGTGGGAAGGCAAAGGTTTTTATAGAAGTTGAGGGCTACAAGGTGGGAGATTCTCGGGATCTGATGGGCTGGCCACTTTGGGGAAGCTGGGCGGGTCCTTGTCCCTGTCCCTGGAGTGATTTCTCTTGTTAGGCAAAGGGGCTCCTTCAGGGAAGCCCCCTGTGAAGTAGACGGAATGTGGGGTTGTGTGGCCCAGCCCAGATGGAGGATGGAGGGTTGGGGTTTCCCACCTGGTTGTTCAGTTGCAACTCCCTTCTTAGAGGCTTCTCTCCTGTGGTCTGGGTGGGCTTGCAGGGGGGCAGGAAGAGTCAGTTTGGGCCTGATAGGATCAGGCAAAGAGAGGAACCGGGTTTGCCCCGGTCATGCCACAAGACAGGGAGGGAAAGAGAGTGCAGCCACCATTTTCCTGGTTAGGTTTATTACAGTCCAGCCCAGGGTTAGGGCTTCCAGAGAAGCTGAGCAGGAAGGCCAGGTGGTCCCTGAGATTCGCCCACCCTTTGCCTGCTGCTCTCAGGCAGGGGTTTAGGTGCAAAAAGCCCCTGGCCGCCTCCAGCTGGATCCAGCTGCTGATCCTCAGGGCTGCAGGCACAGAAATCTCCTACTCCGCCCTGTACTGTACTGTAGTTCTCCGTGCACCACCCTCGATTTTGGAACCGGATCGCTGGACCAGCTCCAGGGGGCGGGGCGGGGCGGCTCTGCTGCCTGGGTCTCAGCGCCAGGCTCTGGAGGAAGTGGGGCGGGCTGGCAGGCTTTGGACCCTGCTCCTGCTCAGCAAAGGATGAGCCAAAAGAGCTCCATGGTGGTGCCTCCCCTGAAGCTTGGCCTGGGCGCCTTCCCTTTGGTGCAAACGGGCCAGCTGCAATCAGACATAGGCAGCCCCCAGCCCAGCCTTGAGGCCCCTGTGTGGGGGCCGAGGCATCCGTCCTGTCAGGGCTTCTCTGCCCCCCACCCCAGTCCCTGCTCAGCACCGATTCCTTCTTCAGCATCCTTTGCAATGGCCGCCTCCTTAGATGTCAGCATGAAGGAAGGGACAGTGTGTTGTGCAGATCCATGTAACGTTCCCGTTTTGCCTTGTTTTTAAATGCCATTCTGATTTTCTGACCCCCCCCTTTTTTTTCCAATCCTGGGCACATTAATTGAGAAACGGGAGGCCTTCTTCGGCACTCACGGTGTCAGTGGGGCAGCGGCCTCCGTCACCCATCGCCGCACAGGATCAAACCCAGCCCCTGCCAGGCTCTCTCCCCCCAAGCGCTCCACCCTCCTTGGGAAACGTTCAGGGGCACGCAGGACCAAGTCCGGGGCCTTTCAAGTCGGGTTCCTAATCGTGCTGCTACCGAGCAGCAGGGCCGCAGAGCTGGGGGATTTTCTAAACATCATTAGAAAGTATTATGAAATCGCCCCCGGCATGGACGAGAAGGAGCCACGCTTGGAACTTTCTCCGACAGGAAAAACAAAACAAAACTGAGAAGCAGGAAGGGGGAGCGGGAGCTTCTGCTGCTAGCACCTGCCCGGCTGGGCTCCTGCGGGACAGAAGAGCAGGCTTCTCTGGGCCTGGTGCAGATGGATCCCCCCATCTCCCGCGGGGCCAGAGACTTGGGGTGCTTTTCCAAGGGAGACAGTCCTGCCCTGCCCTGGAGGGGGAAGTCCTGAAGGATCAGCCTGGGGGTGGCTTGGTGGGCCAACTAGTTTGTTAGCCCCCCCCTTATTTTCACCCCCTATATTTTTTAATTCAGGTCTGCCTCTCATCCCCCCCCCGCTGGATCCTCCCCCCCTCCAACCCACAGATCGAGATCACCCACAGTGTGAAAGGGGGGGTGGCAGAAACAAGAGTCGAGGTACATGTTCTAAGTCTATTTATTCAGATTTCTCCTTGGATTTTAGCCAAGCTCAAAGCGCACCCAGCCGCCACTCCCTGCAGCTTCGAGGCCTCCGCTTTGGACACCTGCGAGGAAAGGAGCCGGTGAGCGGAACTGGGGGTGCTGCGTCTCCCGACTTCAACTCCAGCCCCCTTGAGACCACTCTCGACCCTCCTGGGGGCCTCGGGGGCCTGTTGATGGGAGCACTTCCATCTGTTTTCTTCTGTGTCAGCCCTCCCCCCCCAGTTTTCATGCAGACGGGCAGCAAACCGCAGATGCCCCCCAGGTCAGCCAGGCGATGTCCAGGAGCCCTCCCCTGGTTCAGAGGAGCCCCGCTGCAGCTTGCAAAGCTCTGGAAAAGGTCCTGCTGTCGCTGAAAGTGAGGGAGGGTCCAAAGAAGGCCCACTGCTCTAAGAACCGAACACCCGTGCCTGAAATAAACCTACCTATTGGGGAGGGGCGCACATCCCTGTGGAAAATGAAAAAGAGCAGGTTGAACGTTGCCTCTTCCATCCGTTGTGCCTCTGAAGGGAAAGGGCCCCCGGTGGGCACCGCCTCCCCCCGGGGCCCGCAAGGGCAGAGGAGCCGAGCCCCCTCCTCTGCCAGCTGGGTGCATCTCTCCCTCGTGCACAGCAGTGCTGGGGGAGGGGGAGGAGGCCTGGCGAAAGGCGCGAGGCCCAGGTGCCCCAGCGCTGAGAGACCTCTCGGGTCCAGCGCCCAGGGCTGCTGCTGGCTCTCCCTTGTGCAGAATTCCACTATGCTGTGGAAAGAGGTGATCTCACCTGGCTCTCTCGCACACGCAGCACCCTCGCACACCAGGTGGCGACAGCCCCCCCCCTTGCCACAATAACGCGACTGTCTTTCTTCCATGGCTGAGTCTCCACAGCCACCAGCGAAGTGCTTACCCTCTTTGCGCAGTTCCTGCAGGTCTGCCTCGTTCAGGCCCACTTCCTTGACAAAGGATCTGCACTTGCTCATGAAGTCCTCTCTCACGGGAAGGTCCTTGCCTGCACACAGAACGAGTCAGACCTGAGTTGTGGCCTTTGGGCATTTTTGCCCCAGGAGGCAGAGAAGGGAGAGAGATTTCTAAGATGGTGGTTACTGAGGACCCCAGTCCTTGGGCAACTCTCCCCAAAGGGGGGCTCTTGGGAAAGAGGAAAGAGAGGAGCAGCCCCGCTTGCAAGTGCCCCAAACCACCGATCGATCAGGGTGTTTTCAGGAGTAGGAGTTGAGGGTTGGGGGCCCCCTGGATGGGCACCTGTTTTCAGGGGAGAATTGGAGGACACACAAAGTTAGAAACGGGTCTGTAGCTCAGCTGGTGGCAGTCCCATGAGCTCAGGGCATGTGGCATCGTGGTGACCCCAGAAGGGGCAGGGGGTTGGTGAGGCGATGCCCTGGGGAGGTTCCTGGCCCTTAAAAGGGCCCAGCAGAAGCAGGTGCCATGTTTGGTGGGTGAACCCAAGAGGTCCCCTGGTTACTGACAGCCACCTCAGGGGGCTGCCCAGCGCTCTGACCAGGCACGGTTGTAATATGGGGAGATCAGAGCTGCCGCTCGACAAACAAGTCAGCAGAGGAAGAGGAGCCCTGCTTCTGGGCACAGCTTGACTCCAGGAGGCAGGAATGTCTCCGCTGAGTCCAGAAAATGTTGGGCCAACTTGACCAAGAGGCCCAGAAATGGTCCCACTGGGAGCCTCTCCTCTGCTTTTGAAGCTGAAGAAGAGAGAGCGAGGGAGGGCTCCTCTGCTGCTTGCCAGGAGATCCCTCCCGCTAGCCCAGCTGCCACTGGAGGCTTTTAAGTCCCCCCTTTGTCCCATAACGAGTCACCGATGGAGCCTTATGGATGACAGTTGGTTTTGCAAAGCAAACCCAGGTTTATGGCTTAGCAAGCTCTGCTACCCAGCTCCTGTGGCTTGTTCTGAATGACGTGGCTGAAACAAATCATGGATCAATGGGATGTGCGAACTCAGCCGAGACAGGCTTCGCATTCCTTTCTGGACGAGGTACATACTCATACACGTGACCACGACACAGAAGTTTGTTCCGTCGGAAGTCATCTTCATGCTGATTGAGGCTTGTGTTGAATAATCGGTTTGTATCTTATCCATAATTTTTTTACCACCTCGCTCTGTAGGAAAGAGATGAGGCAACAGTAGACCGGCTTGCTTTTGCTCTCGCAAAGAGATCGGGCACAGGGCAAACCCAGTTCAAGCTGGGACTCCTGGAGATTTAGGTAGGAGCTGGAGGGAGCTGAGCTCCTGGTCCCCGGTGAAGAAGAAAGGGCCTTGGGGGCGAGACGGCGATGAGGGCATCCAAAACTTAAAGCGTTGGCTTTGGGGCCCTGACTGTACCTGCACATTAAGAAAACCATCCCTGCCATGAAGCTCCTTAGAAGATAAAGATGTTCCCAAAGTGCCGCTTGCTTGAGCTAAACCCCTATGCACCCCAGAGATGAGATGGGCACCCCAGAATCCCTTTCTTTGCCATCCTTGTCGACCAAGCTCCTCTGGTCAGGCTGGCAAGGCTGGTCCCTGCGGGGTCCAGGTTCTTTCCCTTTTGGCGTGTGATCTCTGAGAGGTGACCGCTCAAGTGGACCTCAGAACCGTGGCCATTGTGCCAAACTCCTACCAGGCGGTGACAGACTGTGTGATCTCAGACTGCCATTTTGGGGGTGCTTGTGTTTACAAGCTGCAAGGGAACTGGACCCTTGAACCTTTGATTCCCCCTCTGGGCCAGGGCTCTTTGGGGTCTTGGACAGCGATAAGGGGTTTTAGCTTTCCCGTTAGCTCCTTCAGGGAATTGTGCTGGATCCTGGGAACCGAGGCGTGTGGGGCAGATACTCCAACCCCCGCCTTGTTCCTTTCCCGGTGCCCACCCTGCATCCCCAATTCTTTGCCCAACGGGCTCCCATTGTTACAAGCCTCCCCCTCGCCCCACTTAATACATACCACATGTAGTGGTGTATACTCCATCTTCTTTCCTGATGACAGGATTTATTTCCTTGCACCCTTGTGGCCTGTAAAATGATGTCAAAGCGTATGAGGGCGTTGTTCTCGTCAACCTGAACGGTGCTCTCCAGCCCTTAAGGGATCTGCTGTTGTCCTCCCTTGGGATCTCTCTGGATCTCAGAAGCTGTTGGGGCAAACCCGCTGGCCCCAGGGGGGCTCCAGGGCCTTTGGAGTGACTCGCCGCCCCTTCCATGAGCAGCACACAGCAGGGCCCCCAGCCGGCGCGCCACTTGGGCACGATGGAAGCAAGCAAGCTGCAAACCGGGGCACTTACATGCGCAGGTTGATCTTCATTCTGAATTCATCCTTTGTCACTGAATGAAGCACGGCAGGGATTATGGGCATATGGCGGGACATTTCCCTCAACTTCGGGCAATTGGTTGCCATGGCTATACTGTACCACGGTCCTGTCAACTGGGGATCAAAGACAGCGTTAGGGGCCAGGCTGGCATTTGCAGAAGGAGCATCTCACATGCCGGGGAGGCTGCCCCTCTGCTGGAGAGAGACAGAGAGACAGAGAGACAGAGACAGAGAGAGACAGAGAGACCGAGACCGAGACCGACCTGGACCGCCAGCCTCCTCCCCCAGCAAGAAAGGGCCCTTCCCTCACTGTCCCAGCAGCTTGGCCCCAAAGGAAGAAGGCAGAGACCTGGTGCAATTGCCCTTCCCTCTCTGCCCGAAGGGGGGGCTTTCCGCGCCGGAGCTCCTTGGACTCCTCTGGTCAGGAGGGTTAGGGAAGGCACCCCAGAGCAGAGCAGCCCCTGCTCCGGCCACGGTGGCTTACCCTGCTAAGCTCGGCATTCTCGAATGGTGTCGAGTCATCTGCCTGGACGGCGCAGCAGAGGGCAAGCCCCAAAGCGAAGAGACAGACTTTCATCTTGCGTGGTCCTTTCTCCTTCTCGGCCGAAGAATCCTCTGCGACTCGGAGGCAGGTGACTGGGGTCTGCAGGGCTTCTTGCTCTTATAGAGCCCGGGGGTGCTCCCCATGCCCCCTGCCCCTGCCAAGGCTTGCATCACCTCCATCCATGCGTGCAGCCACCGAGATAGGGGGGTTATTCTTGGCCTGGGCCCTGTTGGCACACGGGCCCCTGCTGGGCAGCTGACCTCACCCATCGACATTCTCCAAACAGGGGACGTTTGCGTTGGCCCCAGACCCAGTGGGCATTTGGCCTGCAGCCCACCAGGAAAGGTCTTCCTCCTTGATCTGAGGCCGGGCAGAGGGCGCGCCAAAGGTGAGCAGCTTGGCTGAAATGCAAAACTAACAAGCTTGTGTCCAGCCAGGTGAGAGAACAGAAGACAGAGGATGGAGTCTGGAGACCAAGGTGTGCTCATGCGCTCCGGGGTGACATGGCACTGCACAGAGAAGTGCTTGTGGGGAAAGAGGTCGGGGGGGTCAAGCTCCTTCCCCTGTGTTTCCCCAGACCAAGAGCCAACCCGCCTTGGGAATGGAGGTTCCCCAAAAGGCCTGTGGGCACAGCCAAATGTTGCCTTGACGGCCTTGGTGCAGGCCTCCCCCGCACAAGTGAATGAGCTCCCAAATGCCCCGTTTCACCCTCTGCAGCAGGTGGGAGGCACAGCAAAGGTGGCTGAATCATCTCTGGAAGGACACGCTGGGTCCTTTTGCCTAAAAGCAACCAGATGTTACAAGCCAAGTGCAGATCCTCTCTTGCAAGAAGACCCCAAAGAGCCAACCCCCTGGACTTGGCAGCCGACACACCACCCCAGATGGCTTCCCCTGTGTTGCCGAGGAGGGCCTTGCTTCTCCTTAAATCGGGGAACCCCTTTCAGACGCACACCCAAGTGGGTGCAGATGCTCTGACTTTGGTGCCCTCGCTCTGTGACAAAGACTCATGATGTGGCCGCCATGAAATAATCTCTACGTAATCCGGTGCTCAGAATGTGCTGAAACTAACCCTGGGATTGTGGTTGGGATCTCTACTTTTTCAAGGCTGGTTGGCCTGACCCGGAGTGGGATGGGTTACGGAACCCTTGGACCATCTGCACTGCCTATAAGGCAGGGACGTGCAACTCTTTGGTTGCCAAGGACCTACTCCTTACCCTCTCTGAGAGCAGGAGGGGCACGGGGCAGAGAAAGGAAGAAAAACAGATGGGGAGTTTCCATGTTTTGTGTCTTTCAACTTTCAGAGAGCTTCAGGGCTCTCTGAGTTTCATGCCCGAAAATGGCACATTTTTGACATGGCAGGATTAGAAGGCAGCAAAATGGGGCTGGGGGTCTGCCTGGGCCTCTTCTTGCTCTCCTCTGCTTTCAAGATTTAGTTCTGCCAAACTAGAACAACCGGGGCTCCTTTGCTCTGTACCCCCCATTCATCTATTCTTCCTTTGGCAATAAGCTTAGGAGCAGTAAAATGCCCGGGGTGGCTGCAAAACCTTTGTGAGATGTGTGGCACCTGGATGGGCCCACAAGAGTGTTAAAGGAGAAAGGCCGTTTCCGGGCATAACTACAGTGACCGTATTGTCATGGAAAAAATAAATGACAAACCTGAAAAAGGGGCAAATCTGAAAGAGGTTCATAAGGACAAAAAAATTTAATCGTTTATATTTATAACTGCTTTACAAAGGAAAATTCAAGAGCAAAACCAAGAAAAGAAATAATAAAATAAATCTAAAGGACAGCTTTCTAAAATAAAGGACGTGTGGTCACAGTGGGCATAACCCACCCTTTATATCATGTCATTGGCTTGCTATTTTATCTGTGACTGGGTTTTTCTTCCCTCTTTTTATGGGGATGTGTTTTTATCGATTGCAGAAGTGCCGCACGGCATGCAGAATTGGCTCCTCTGGGTCATTTGTTTATTGCGAAGGAGCACCTGTGTCTTCTTTCCCAGCAGTGGGCAGATGTTGATGGCTCGTGGCCTTGTCCACCCCGTCTCCCTCTCTCTTCCCACCCACCCCTCCTCGTCTACACTGGTTGCTGCCAACATGCAGAGACACCTCAGGGAGCATCTTTTTTCTCCCCAGGGTTTTCAGCAGCAGCGGCTCAAGCCCTTTCGCCGTCGTTTCTGCAATTCCAGGTCTTTCTGGCTGGGAGAGGGACCCCCCATCACCAAGGCAATGAGAGATGAAAAGGTGAACTGATGGCTGTAGGACGACCCTGGCATGTGGATTTCCCCAGAAGGTACCACAGCAAATGGGGCACATGGCCCACTCCAGCCTGACAATTAAAACACACCTTGCAGAACAGGATCCTTCTCCGCTTTGTGGTCCCTGAGCTTTCCACACACGTCAGAACAGCCCTTCTTTCTTAGTGCTGGCAAATACCCTGCCCATCTAAAATTATGATCATCTGACTGTTCCTGGCTACTATCTTTGCCGCTCAGGTCACCACGCTGTGATCTGACACCCTTATGTCGGTGCTGTGGACCAGATACGCCATCTTCATGATTCTTGACAGCAAGCGAAATGGTTGCCTGCCTCCCTCCCTCCCTCCCTGCTGGGCCTTGGCAAAAATGGGATCAGAGATGGAAAATCCCCCTCCCCTCAGTTTTAATTGCAGCTCTGCCCTACTGACGGAGGGAAGAAAGACTGGGATTAGCCCTCCTGAGTGGGAGACAGACTCGCCCCCTTTTAACCAACTGGTTTTTAGCCTCGGCTAAATTGTCCTGAAAGGAAAAGGTAAGGATTGCCCCAGAGGTGAGAGAAGCTGCACAGACAGCACACACACACACACATGTTATTTTCTTAATCTATTTATTAAGAGCACATCAGGGATGTTTATATCCCAGAGGTTTAATGAAGACAAAATTGCACACAGCAGCTGTTCTCATTGGATGCTTCTGCTTTGGCCCCTGCACGAAGGAGCCCGGGGGCAGAGCTGGGTCCCCTCCTCTGGCTTCACTTGGAGACTCAGCTGGGTGTCCCAACCCTCCCACCTGGCACCACCTGACACTGCCAAAGGGGTTCCGATCAGGAGCGAACGTGTCCCGTCACGAGCCGAGCATGCTGATCCTGGAAACAGTCCCCTCTGGCACTGATGTCTTCACAGAAAAACTTGCCTAGTTGTTGTTTTCTGTACAGGCAACTGCAGACACAAAGTCAGGATAGCGTAGTTATTGCCTAGATGAAACATCCGGCAACGGAATCACAGGATGCAAAGGGGGCGGTGGGAGAAACACAGGAGCACCCCAAACATGGGTTTGCTCTTCCCTTAGGTCTGCACTTTGTTTGGACCAACTGATCTTGAAAAACACCCCTCCCGCTCTGCCGTTCCCCATGCGTGTGGATACAGCTCCCTCCCAGCGTGAATTCGGGCAGCCTTTACGAAGAGAGGTCCGAGAAACAGAAAAAGGAGCTGGCCTGCCTGCCTCTGGAGGCGGTCAAGAGCAGAAGAGGGGCTCCGACAGGTGGGAGCAGCCTGGACATCGCCAGGCTCCACCAAGAACCTGCTGCAGAGCAGTGGTGGTGCTCCAAGCAGAAATGCAAGAGAGGGCTCTTGCCAGCCGCTGGGATCCCGCCTGCCTGGCCTGGCACGGTTGCTCCTCCTCACAGGAAATGCTGCTCCCTCAAGCAGCCCCATTCTTCCCCTCTCTCCGCCAGATGCCTCCCTATCCTTCCCCTTCCTGAGAACATCCATGCCCAAGGCACCAGGGCCCCTTAGTTACAATCCCACGGGGGATCTGACTGTACTTGTTGCCTAATTCCACCCCAGAGGGGCCCCGGGCCCTACCTCTGTTTCCCTTTTTTGTGGGCTCAAAAGTTTTAGGGGTGTGTGTGGGCGCGTGCCTTTTTGTCTGTGGAACACAAAATGACCTGCTACAGGAGCAAGTTAATTCAACAAATATCTGAGCAAGGAAGTACATGAAGGACCCTGGCCTTTTGCGGAAGAAACGTGCTCATCTCTCCTTCCCTGGTGGGTTCTTTTCAAACCAGAGAACGAAGAAGTCTACGGATTTCTCTCGTTTCTCTCTCTGTCTCTGTCTCCCCGCCTTTGACCGACAGCCATCTTTGGATCTTACGTTTGTTGGCCAGATGGATGATCTGGTCTGGGTCCAACTCCAATTCCGCCACCTGGTCTTCAAATAACTGTTCCACAGACTGGGACACGGACATAGTCCTGTCTGCAGAAAGGAAGAACAGACGGGCCTGAAGTGAACAGACATCTTGAGTCTCCCCCCACAGATTTCCACGGGGAGAAAGCGCTTCAAATATGGAGGTGCCAATGAGCATCAAAATCTGGGGCCAACTTTTCCATCAAGGGAATGCCCTGAACGGTGGAATTCATGCTGATTTTAGCAGCGCCAAAATATGTAATCAACATGGGTCCGAATATGGCCCAGGGGGTTTCCTGAGAGCAGGGCGCAGTTGGATCGAGCTGGAAAGAGAAGCACTGAGTCGCCCCTCAGGCCACGTGTTGATTTCTTGCCGGAAGTGGAACAACGCAAAACCAGAAGCCGTGACACTCTTGTGGCACTCCTGGGAATACCGCTGACGTGGCTGACCTCACGGCCACCCGTGCCTGCCCACCAGAGGGGACAGTGGGAGGATAGTAGGAAGGTAGCATCTGCCCGGAAGGACCGGCCCCTCCCCAAAGGACCCAATGGGACACTTCGGTTTCATTGATCTCGTTCCTTTGGAAACCCTCTAAATGCCCAGCGAGAGTGCCCTGCTGCGTCTGGAGAAAGAAGCAGTGGGGTGGCCCACCTGGCTACCGAAAAAGGAGAGGTGAAGGAGGACCTTCCAAGAACCCTTCCTAGGGCAGCTTGGCGCTTTTTCCACTTCTCTCCTGTCCTTTTCCTTTTGCGCAAGGTGCCTTGGAGAGTGACCGTCACAAATCACCACTTGGGAGAAGAGGGATGTGCAAGTGAACAAATAAATCATGGGCTGGGCTGGCTTTCCCCTTGGCAAAGTGAAGATGGGGAGTGCTCTGGACACCTACCGTAGAGTGACACAAACTTGCACACCTGGTCTTCAATGGGTTCCAGGTCTGTGGACACTGTGATGACATAGTTGTCGCAATCTGTCTTCAGCATGTCTATAATTTTGTCCCCGAAACCTGGCGGAAAGAGCAGAAGGAGGCCATCCAAAGTTAATGGTGAGGGCCCGGCTGTTGTAGAAAGCCTAAATCAAATTTGGCATGTCCTGAAAGCCTCTCCTTCTAAGTACATTTTTAAAAACTAAACCAATATTTCATTCTTTTATTGACCTACCATGTAATGCAGGACCCGAAATGTGAATTGTGAGTCAATGTGAAATCAATTAACTACAAAAAGGTTAATTTATTACAAAAAATATTGGCTAATTAAATCATAAAGATATTGGCAGCTTGAAAGGTTAACTCCATCTCATTGTGTGGATGTAGCTCAGGTGTCCAGACTTTTCCAGTGGAAGGGAGTTCTACCATTTCAGCTAAGTTATTATTTTTTTTTCTAAGAAATGGAAAGAGTTCTTACATCATCTCCTGAGTCAGAAGGTAGGAAAGCATGTTTATATCTCAGCTTCAGCCAATCTGCTGCTTTTCAGGAGTTTGAGGCAAAGAAAATGCCCCATATTCCAACCCAAGATGCTCTAGACCGCTCTTCCAGCCCCTCCACCCACCTCCCCAATCTGCTGATTGTTTCACTGATTGATGATAGACAGACAGATGTTGATGCAAAAGAGGAAGTGCAGGGTTGGAGACAGGCGGCTGCTAAATACAAAAGGGGGCGGGGGCGGGGGGGGGGACCTGGCCCCTGCTGAGCAGAACCCATGTTGGGAGAGCACCACGAGTCTCCGGAGACCCGCTTTCCCCAGAGAAATTGACCCAGCTCAGATGCCCTTTCCTCTGCCAGGCGGCCTGGAGCGGAGGAGGCTCGAGAGGAGCAATTCCTGCTCATACAAACCAGTTGTGTAGGTGTATTTCCCATTCTCCAGTTTTGTATATATAAACTCCATTTCAACACATCCGTATGTCCTGTGAAATGAAATGACAGAACGAGTCATTAGGCAGGTGCAGAATCAGCTTCAGGCTCCTGCCTGGGCGAAAAGCTTCACGGAGGGAAGATGCAGAGCAAGATGCTTGTGGGGCTCTCGCTCACTCCTCCCCCCACCCTTGGCTACGCGGGCACCTCTTCTCCTAAAAAGCCACGGGGCTCTCTGCTTCTGGGAAGAGCCCTGTTCTCCTGCTGATCCACACGGATCGAGAAAAGTCCTGTTTCTTGTTCCCACTGAGATCTCCTGCGGCCCCTGCAGACCTTCCAGAACAAACTGGCAAGGCTCAGCCCCTCTCAAAGTCACTGGGGACAGAATTTCCACCACCCTCCAGGACACAAGAGTGTATGCCCCCCAGCCAGGGGGCAGAGGGCAGGAGCAGCAGAAGCAGAAGCAGAAGCAGAAGCAGAAGCAGAAGCAGAAGCAGAAGCAGAAGCAGAAGCAGAAGCAGAAGCAGAAGCAGAAGCAGAAGCAGAAGCAGAAGCAGAAGCAGAAGCAGTGGGCACAGGCTTGGCACGGCACAGCAGGCACTTACGTCGAGAAGTTGGTATAAACATGGAAGTTTCCATCCTCCAGTCTGCTTATGTTGGAAGCCGTTATCTCCTTGGTCATATGTTCTATCATCCACTCACAGTTTGTGGCTACAGCAAGCAGATACCATTTCCCTAGGAGCTGAGGACAGAGGCTGGTTAGCAAACCAGGATTCCCAAGCTGGTGTGTGGGAGAAGTTGGGCACAGAAGTCTGGGCAACATGCTTCCTGTCCAGCTTATTTGGGAGTCCTTTGGTCCTGCTATCCAGTCCTCATGTGGGAGCTTGACTGGAGATCAAGTGCTCGTGGTGCACCACTGGCCATTTCACACCCCACTTTCAAAATCGGGGGGCTTTTAGATAGAGGCTTGCAATGGGACCAGGCTGTGCAGCAAACCTCGGGGCAGGGGAGCAGAGGAGGAGTGATGCCCAGTGGGCATGGAGGGAGGGACTGTCCGGCTGGCCTCAGGACCGGACAAGAGCTGGCACCCCGGAAGGGAAGTCTGGAGCTCCAGCAGGAGCTGAGGGTGGCGGGGTGAAGCCTGGGGGAACCACTTGAGGAACTTTACACTTTGGAAAGACGTTTCCTTGGAGAGAACACTGGGGCGGCGGGTGGGCCAAGAGAGTTTAGATTTTGAAGCTTCTTCATGTTTTCTCACAACGGTCTCTAGAAGAAGTGAGAGGACCTGCGATTCCTGTTGAATAGCCTCCCCGTCTGCCGGGAGTTGAGCACAGAGAGATGGTTCATTGGCAGGGAAATGTGTGAGTTGTCACCCTTAACATTCCACTGTGTGCCCTCCTCTTTCCCCATAGACAATGATCAGCGTTCTCATTGGCAATGAAAATTAAGCACTTTAAGGATGCCCCTCAACAGAAGGGAGCTGGACCAGAGGGCACCCCAAGGAGACGCAGCCTGGCTTGGTTACCTGGTCAAAACCGCAGCGGTCAGCCTCCTCAAAAGTGGCACATGGAACGCAGAGGAGGGCGATCCCCAAGCCACACAGCCAGAGCAGCTTCATCCTGCCCACTTCCTTTCTGCCTGCTCTGCCAAAGAACCCTCGGAGATGCCTGGAGAAGCAGGTTCCCCGAGGTCCTTGGCTTTTATAGTGCTCAGGCGCCACTTCCACCCCCAAAGGTCTGCATCTGCCTCAGAACTCGGTCGTGGGGCACTCGGAGAGCCGCGTGGCTGCTGAGCACAAAGACGGATTATCTCGCCCAGCACAAAGGGCCATTGCTCTGCCTTGGCCGAGGACCCAGGAGGCATTTGGAGGGCCTCCAGCCAGAAAAGGCCTCCCTCCCACCTCCCCCCCACCTCCAGGTCAGGAGAAGGCCGCAGGGCGAAAGTTGGCAGGAAACAGCCAACCCCCTGCTTTCTGGGCCCTGCTTGTCCTAATCACAGCACTGGATGTCGGAGTTGGGAAGGGCACAGAACCTCCATGGACAGAGAACGGGCACCTTGGATAAACAGCTCTCAGCAGGGAGCGTTTTTAGGGGTGGACTTGGCTCTAATTCGGGAATTATTATTATTATTTTTTG